AGCTGGTGATATGATCATTCATTGTGCTACTAGGAATATAAGTGAAGCATAACAGTCTTCTCTTCATGTAAAGTTTATTTTGACTGATTTTCTTCAAGAATTTCTCCTCGAATGAATTCCATAATTTATTTGCAGATGTTTCCTTTGTGTATGGATACTTTTGTTCTCTTGCAAGGTAAGATCGAATGGTACCGCAAGATAATCTTCCAATCTTCTTCTCCTACACTGCTGATTTCTTTTCTTCTATGGCAATATCTAGCCCTTGTTGAAAAAGGACATCAAGGACCTCGCCTTGCCACATTCCGAAATGTGTCCTGACCGTCAAAAATTTCAACTGCAAATTTCGCATTTGACACAATTCTTGTCATAAGCGAGGATGCCAATGATGACGTATTATTGACATTCAAAGTGGACTCATCAGTTTTCTTGTCTCCCATTTTACTATAAATACTATTTACTAGCTAACAATGCAAGGACCAAAGTAAATCTTTTTCTGATGTGGAAGTTCAGAATTTGCTGCAACCACAGAGCATACTCAGATAATACCTTGGCTCTATACCAATTGTTGCGGAAGCCGAATATATAGAGAGTGATGAAATCACAACTGCTATATCTAAAGGTAGCTAATAGATAGTAAATGAGACAACAATACAAAGAACACTAGAAATTTACGAGGTTCGACAAAAAAATGTTTTCTTTTGCCTACTCCCCGGACACAACCAACCAATATTTATTTCACTCCAAAAGAGTACAAGTGAAATACTACAAGAGAGAAAGAAGAACAAATGCCTTTGAAGATGAGAAGACAAGTGAGAGGTGTGTTACAAATGAATTAGGAGCTACCTATTTATAGGAGTGAATTCTTCCTATTGATGTCATCCATGACATCACAATGTGTCAAAATGTCAAGATTTACCTTGTGAAACCATTTTATGGTTTACTTAAATTTCACCTACTAAGTAGCTATCTTGACTTTTGTACCAATGAAGAATTATCTTCCTAACTACCAAATCTTCACATTAATTCATCTTGAATCTTGTCAAATTTAACAACCTTCTCAATTATTTGTTAATGGAGCAGGAAAAATGGATGGACTGAAATGTGATGGAATTTCAAAGAAGTACCTCAAGGGTACGTATTAACTATACTTTGAGTTTGTGAACAAGGTTGTACTATCCTAGACAGAGAAACAAACCGTTGCTTCTGCTGCTGATTTGTTTCTAATGGAGGCACTCAAAAAGTATGATTCCATTAATCTTCCGGGAATTATGCTGGAGCACATGGGGAAGGGTTATGTTTGTTAAAAATGGGTGTCATGGGTTGGCTTATGGTTATGTGCTAAATCATGTCTTTGCACATTTCAAGGTGCCTCTTGGCAAAGGGGTAGTTGGGACGATCAAGCAAGCTATCTCCCCGACCACTGTCATTGGATGTGAGTGCATTGAAGGTCGAATAGGCACTAAGTCCAAGTCTCATGTGTCGGAGCTTCTCGAGCAACATGAAATGCTTAAAAAGGACCTAGAAGACGTGACTGGAGCCCTGACCAAAAAGGATTTGGAAATAGCAAGGATTAAGGCCTTGCTTCAACAAGAGAAGTCTTAGGGACCTATTCTCAGTGAGGATGCGCAGAATGAGAAGGCAAACTTGAAAGCCAAGAATGCAGCACTGCTTGTTTCGAATGAGAAAGTGGCTGAGAAAGTGAAGACCCTCACCAAGCAGCTGCTTCAATCCCATGCCAATGAAAACACATGTATGACTATGCTCATGTGATCCCTTACTCCACAACTCACTCCTTCCTATAGTCCTTCCTTCCCAATTTTTTTAAATCAATGTCTCTCAGTTCTAGTGGCAAATGCTCGTTCTCTGGTGTATTTATTTTTGCAATACTGATGATGTTACCTCTATCTAATATATTGTATATTTGATCTCTTCTCTGTGCTTATTTACTCATGTCAAGTGTTGCCTCAGTGGCCATGGATTTACCCAACTTACATGATAATTTACTTACGTTTACTGCTCGATCATACTTTTTTATGATATCAAAAGGATGAAGAAATGTGTTAATTAAGGTTAATTAGGTTCTATGCATGAGACCTGGTACTTCAATATGAGGAAGTGCTTGAATTCAAAGCTTGCTAGTGATAGGGGGAACACATTGACAGGGGGAACACGTTGACAGGGGGAACAAAGTGGATATAGTTTGTCATCATCAAAAGGGGAAAAATGTTACTCTCTACTTTTGATGATTTAACAAACTATGAGACCTAGTAGAGGACCTGGTCCCATGAGTAACGACTGTTCTAGGCCGAATGGGGAACAAATGTAAAAGCTCCCAACACTGCCTGTAAAAGCTCTTAACACTGCCATTGTTGGTGAGCACGGGAAAAGAGGGCAAAGTTCTTAGCCAATGGTATGGCACTAGGTTGTTTTGTCCGTACCATATTATATATACTTTGACCATAAACAACCTAGTTTTTGCATTCAAGATTTCCAAAGAAAAAGGTCATTTTCTCTCTCACGCAAGAACAACCTCACTACAACAACAAGGGACCTCATAAAGTTATCCGAGAAAAGTCCCGAGTTGTGTTGATTGTGAGTTGTGTCTTATGTTCTAAACATTGTAAGATTTGTTCCTGTGTCATAAAGGAATACATTTCATATTGCATTCTGAGTCATTGAGTTCTCGGCTAGAGTTAGTCTTGATGAGTTTGCTTGAAGTTTATATTACTTTGAGTTAGACGTTTGTGTAGTGGGCAAACAACCTTCCAGCAAGGAGAAAGAGATAAAGAAGACAATTCTCAAATTCCCACAAATGAGAGGTATTGCTTAGGCTTTGTCCTTGTAATAGAGTTGTAACAAGGGGAAGGGATTATTAGGTTAGTTCCTAGATTGCATGAGTTTGTAATCTAAATCTTGGCTCTCATTGTTAGTGAAGATGTTGGTGAAATCCTATGAGTCGGGTCGTAGTTTTCTCCTCCCTTGAGCAAGGAGGTTTCCACATAAACATCCTTGTCTTTACCTTGAGCATTTCTGTTTTACTGTTCATAATTTATACAAAGGGACCTGGTCCCTTCACTCGTGGTGGGCTCATATAAGCCATCAGAGAAGAAGGTTTTTCCTCTGAGTTTTCACTTTTCAGAACCAAGAACAGTTAGATGAAGTTGGGGTGGAACTGCTCCTGGTCTATTTCCAAGTTAACATTATACCCTTCTGTCCACTTACAAAAGCCTAAATTTTGAGTGATAATGTTGAATATAAAACTTGAAGGAGTTTCATCAAGTATTGGGTGGTAAAAATATCGTTCATCCAACATGTTTCTCTGCCATTCCGCCTCTTTTCCAGCAGCTACTAATGTTATGAATTCAAATTACATGGTCGAATGGGAAATACAAGTTTGTTTCTTGGATGACCAACTAATTACGCCACCCTCTAAAGTAAATATCCATCCTGAAGTGGATTTATTATCATTAACACTTGTAATACAACTTGCATCAGAATATCCTTCTAATACAGTAGGAAAACTATTATAGCAAATGCCAAAGTGTTTTGTATACCTTAAATATCCAAGCCACGTGTTGTTCTAAATTTCACGTCTATTCAGGTCCCTCAACTGAAAAGGGTAAATAATTTGTTGGACGACATGAATAAATTATATATGCACATGAGTTTTCTTAACAAGGGTATATTTGCTCTAAATCAGAAAGTTGAGTAGTATATTTGCCCCTTTTCCCTTGGAGAAAAAAAGAAGACCCATGATACATTGCCATTTGACTTAGTCGTGTCTCATTCCTAATTACACTGTTATTGCACTTATTGCAAATAGGTATGAATAAAAAAGAAGAAGATGTAAAGCTGGTTAGTAAGCTGGTTTCGGACTTGAACTTCGATTACTTGCTAAGCATATTTATGGATAATAGTATTGTTACAGTACTTGTCAATTATTGACGACAACAAATGTGGAAATGCAAGTGAACCTTTGATTCATGCCGAGGCTAAAGAAAACTCTGCTGCTACACATTTTAGCTACTTCTAAAATAGTAAATTTGATGTATTAAACTTGACATTGTTTTGGGACGAAGAAAGTATATTTTTGACATTTTCCTAGAAAAACTTGCATTGACTTAAGAATGACAACGTTTTGTAAACTTGGAATTGATTGATGATTTGATATGAAGGCAGCAGTCCTTACTTGATTTTCCCCCTTTCCTCTCTCCTTTTGATAATAAAATTCATAAATAATTTATTTCAACATGAAAATTCAAAGTGAAAAGGATTTGCCTGTTAAGTAGCTTTCATTGAAATTTCCACAGCAAGACTCATTGCAATTACTTGATAATTCAAATAACTGCATTAATACTTCTAGGTGCAAGAAAAAAGATACTTGGAGGGACACTCCGTGCAAAAACTTGGTTTTATTTCTCCCTTTAACAGGTGTTACACTGAGAGAATCCAGATTAATCGGGACCCTAATGTGGCTATTAAAAATCGAATGAGAAACCAAGTTATTTTTAGAAAAAATTACGTCTCATTCTAAATATCAGGTCCCTCAACAATTCAATATCTTATAATTATACCAAAGCAAACATGCTACTAAAAAATGCTTGACTAAATCAGTTATCGGTCCAATAAGAAATAGATCCACATAAATAAATTTCTAAATCAAGATAACTAAGAAGCAGTATGCTTTGTTTGATTTGTTTTCCTTTTTTTTTCTGTTGCAAACTTTGGAATTTTTCACCAAATTGAATGAATTTGTGTGATGTAGCTTTCCTTGAAATTTCTATAGCAAGACTTGTGCATTTGACTTGTGAAAAATAAACATTGATTTCCCTATCAAATCTACTATGGGTCAAGGTGAAATTTGGAATTTATAGCAAATATTTTTTATTTGAAAAAACTGTCTTTGAATCTGAATGATTTAAAAAAAATCTTTTTTCTTCCCTACGTCCATATATATTTACACACATTTACTGCATAATTACAAGTCTCTGAAGCTAAATATGGACTATGCAATTGTGCTCTTACTTGTTTTTCTCTGTCATGAAGTATTTACTGTTTCTTCATCCAAATTACCTCATCTCTTTCACAAACATCAAACCAGTTCACTTCTAAAATTCAAGAACACACTTACTGTAGATACCTCAGCCTCTTATCTCTGTCAAGAGCCTTATCCAAAAACGAGTTCATGGAACATGAGCAGAGATTGTTGCTCATGGGATGGTGTCATATGCGATGAGATGACTGGCCATGTAATTGAACTGGACCTCAGCTGCAGCAATCTTGCTGGGACCATCGATTCCAATAGCAGCCTCTTCCAACTCTCTCATCTCCAAAGGCTTGATCTTTCTCTGAATAACTTCTCCAATTCTCACATCTCCCCTGAATTTGGCAAGTTTTCGAGCTTGACGCATCTTGATCTTTCTGACTCCAATTTCTGTGGTCAAATTCCTTCTGAAATCTCTCATCTTTCCAAGTTGCAGTCTCTTCGTCTCTATGGTCGCCTACGACTCATAGCTCACGATTTTAAATTGCTCCTTCAGAACTTGACTCAATTAATAGAGCTAGATCTTACTTCCATAAACATCTCTTCCACCATTCCTCTGAATTTTTCTTCTCATTTAACAACTCTTAGGCTGGGAGATACAGCATTGTATGGGATAATACCTGAGACTATATTTCACCTGCCAAACTTGGAAACACTTCACTTATGGGAAAATTTTCAGCTCAGTGGTTATTTTCCAAAGACCAAATGGAACAGCAGCACATCTCTCCAGAAGTTACAACTCAGTTTTGTGAATTTTCCTCATAATTTGCCCGAGTCTATTGGCTATCTAACTTCACTGCGTTATTTGTATCTTCAAAATTGCAACCTTAGAGGGCCTATTCCTGAATCTCTTTCGAAGCTCACTTGCATAGAGGATTTGTACCTTCAATATAACTCCCTGAATGGAACAATACCATCAGGGATTTTCTCCCTTCCATCACTAAGTCGTTTAGTCTTGAGCAATAACCACTTTTCTGGTCAATTTGAGGATTTCAATTCCAATTCCAATTCACTAATCTTGATTGATTTAAGCAATAATCAGTTGCAAGGCCATCTTCCCAACTCAATTCAAAACCTTGTGAACCTAACAGATCTTGATCTTTCTTTCAATAATTTTCATGTGGATGTCAGCCTCTTTTCAGACCTCAAACAGCTTTTGTATCTTAGTCTTTCATACAATACTATTGATGAAAAGGAAGTTAATTCTACTTTGCCTGAGTCACTTGAGTACTTACTATTGGCCGCATGTGAAGTGAAAGAATTGGCGTTTCTAAGATCTGCAAAACATCTTTCCAACTTGGATCTTTCAAATAATAAGCTTCAAGGAAGAATTCCTGATTGGGCATGGTCTAACTGGATGTCATTGACAACTCTTAATATATCCCACAATATGCTGACGAGTGTGGATACAATTCCTCTTCAGATTGTATATACTATTGATTTACGATCCAATTTGCTTCAAGGTTCACTACCTGTTCCACCAAATTCCACAACATTCTTCTTCATATCCTATAATTATCTCAGTGAAGAAATTCCTTCAGATATTTGCAATTTAACATCACTTGTAATGCTAGATTTGGCAAGAAACAATTTACGTGGAGAAATTCCGCCATGTTTGGGAAAAATCACTGCCCTCCAAGTTTTGGATATGCGCCACAACAATCTTTCTGGGAACATTCCAACGACTTTCAGCAATGGAAGTTCACTGAGCAGCCTTAACTTGCATGGAAATAAACTAGAAGGGAAAATTCCCCAATCTTTGGCCAATTGCAAAAACTTGCAGCTTCTTGATTTAGGCAATAATAACCTCAACGGCACATTTCCTGTGTGGTTGGGAGCTCTGCCAGATCTGCTAGTTTTAAGCTTGAGATCAAACAAATTGCATGGACCCATCAGAACATCAAGGATTGTGAACATGTTTCCTGAGCTTCGAATCATAGATCTCTCTTATAATGCCTTTTCGGGAAGCTTACCTTCGAGTTTGTTTCAACATCTGAAAGCCATGAGGACAATTGATCCATCAATGGGAGCACCAAGATATCATGGAGATACATATTATGAAGATTCTATTACAGTTGCAACCAAGGGATTTTATCGTGAAATTGTGAGAATCTTGTATTTGTACACAGTTATCGATCTTTCAAGTAATAAATTTAGGGGGCAAATTCCAAGTATCATGGGGGATCTCATTGCAGTTCACATAATGAATTTATCTCATAATGGATTGCAAGGTCATATACCGTCATCATTCGGAGATTTATCTTCAGTTGAATCATTGGACCTATCAGGAAACCAGCTTTCAGGAGAGATACCACAACAACTGGCTTCTCTTACGTATCTTTCATTCTTAAATCTCTCCCACAATCATCTCCAAGGATGCATCCCTCAAGGACCTCAATTTCACACTTATGAGAGCAACTCATATGAAGGCAATGATGGATTACGTGGATTTCCTATTTCAAAAAGTTGTGGCGATGCTCGGGTATTAGATACAAATGATACCGTATCTGGACTAGATGATGAAGAAAGCAATTCTGACTTTCAGAGTGATTTTTGGAAAGGTACTCTTATGGGCTATGGAAGTGGACTATGTATTGGATTATCCATAATATATTTCATGATTTCAACTGGAAAACCGATTTGGCTTGCAAGAATCATCATAGAAATGGAGCACAAAATAATTATGGGAAGGAGAAAGAAGCAGCGAAGGCAAAGGAATTACAGAAGAAGAAACATTAATCACTTCTAGATAAGTTATAAGAAGGATAAATAATCACTGTTTTCAATGATGTTTAATCAGTTTTTGGACCTTTTTTTAGGATCTCAAGCAAAAATATTACAGCTATTTCTTTAAATAAAAGATGTATTAAGTGGTAGACGTACTATCTTTAAGTAATCCTGATTTGCCTTAGCTATGCTTTTTGTTGGAAAGGAAGAACTCCTGTTTGCAGTGTATGAATGAAGTGTGTAGCATCATTTATCCTCAAAAGTAGGGGTGGCAAAATGGGTAAATAATATGGGTATCCGCTTATATTACTCATTTTAAATGGGTAAAAAACGAGTAATACCCATATTATTCATTAAAAAGTGGGTAGTTAAATGGATAAAAGCAAACAAAAAAAAGTGATAAAGATAAGTAAGTCTTTTTTTAAAAAAAAAATCTATAAAAAAAAATGAAACTTTTTTTACATTTAATTTGGGATAGGGGTGGGGGTGGTAGGGGGTG